CTGTGTTAGTGAGCACTTCTCCTTTGTTGAGATAATCCATCCACCTCACAGGTGTGGCATATCAAGATGCTGATTAGACCGCATGATTATTGCAATGGTGTGTCTTAGGCTGGCCACAATAAAAGGTCACTCTAAAATGGGCAGTTTTATTATACAGCACAATGCCACAGATTTAGCTGGTGCGTCTTAGGCTGGCCACAATAAAAGCTCACTCTAAAATGGGCAGTTTTATTATACAGCACAATGCCACAGATGTCGCTAATTCTGAGGGAGTGTGCAATTGGCATGTTGACTGCAGGAATGTCCACCAGAGCGGTTGCCTGTGAATTGAATGTTAATTTCTCTACCATAAGTTGTCTCCAAAGGCGTTTCCGAGAATTTGGCAGAACATCCAACTGACCTCACAACCGTAGACCACGTGTAACCACACCAGCTCAGGACCTCCACATCCAGCATCTTCATCTGAGACCAACCACCTCGACAGCTGCTGCAACAATCGGTGTGCATAACCAAGTAATTTCTGCACAAACTGTCAGAAACTGTCTCAGGGAAGCTTATCTGCATGTTTGTTGTCCTCATTGGGGTCTCGACCTGACTGTGGTTCGTCGTCGTAACCGATTTGAGTGGGGAAATGCTCACATTTGATGGTGTCTGGCACTTTGGAGAGGTGTTTTCTTCATGGATGAATCCCGGTTTTCACCGTAAAAGGAAAATGTCAGACAGCGCGTATGGCGTCATGTGGGTAGGTGGTTTACTGATGTCAACGTTGTGAATCGAGTGGCCCATGGTGGTGGTGGGTTTCTGGTATGGGCAGGCATATGTTATGGACAACGAACACAGGTGCATTTTATTGAATTATTATTTTGAATGCATAGAGATACCACCCATTGTTGTGCCATTCATCCACGACCATCACTTCATGTTGCAGCATGAAAATACAAGGCCCCATGTTGCAAGGATCTGTACACAATTCCTGGAAGCTGAAAACATCCCAGTTCTTGCATGGCCAGCATACTCACCGGGCATGTCACCCATTGAGCATGTTTAGGATGCTCTGGATCGGCGTATACAACAACTTGTTCCAGGTCCTGCCAATATCCAGCAACTTCGCACAACCATTGAAGAGGAGTGGGCCAACATTTCACAGGCCTCAATCAACAACCTGATCTACTCTATGCGAAGGAGATGTGTTGCATTACGTGAGGCAAATGGTGGTCACACAAGATACTGACTGCTTTTGGGACACCTCGGATCCCCTTAATTCCCCCAATACAGTAAAATTGCACTTTTCAGAGTGGCCTTTTATTGTGGCCAGCTTAAGGCACACCTGTGCAATAATCATGCTGTCTAAACAGCATCTTGATATGTCACACCTGTGAGGTGGATGGATTATCTCGGTAAAGGAGAAGTGCTCACTAACATAGATTTAGACAGATTTGTGAACAATATTTGAGAGAAATAGGCCTTTTGTGTACATAGAAAAAGTCTTAGATCTTTGAGTTCAGCTCATGAAAAATGTTGCAAACACAAAAGGTTTGCATTTATAATTTTGTTCAGTGTATATACTTCCCTACATGAGTACACAGACATATATTTGTGTGCAATTTATTCAGTGCAGTTTAAGTAAAATGTGCTCCAATTAAAAATACCCATCACCAGACCACGACACCCCACAATTAAACAAAATCTGTATGTGAAAAACATGGACTATGTACAAAATGTAATTACTGCAAGTGTTTCTAAGTGTCTATATGCAAATATACTTTAAGATATTTAACCATTTAACCCCTGCTGGCTGCCACACTTTTCTCAGGCTCCTGACCTCTCCAGGAATTATCTTAATTTTAACTTCCTTACACTCATAATTCATCACAAATATTTCAAGGAGCAATATCTACTCCAGATATCACACAACTGGATTTACCAAAATCGAACAAATGGCATTACTCAACTGAGATACACAATGGATTGAAATATACTTCCACTGGACCATCTTACTACCAGGAAGAGATACTTCCAGCTGAACACCACAAACAAGGTACATTTAAACAAAAAACCCGCAAAAACTGGTGATTGGTGCGTGATGGCGTGGTGATCCGCGCACCGTAAGGAGGGGAGTGGATCGGCCTGAGTAATAATGGTGGCTGGGGGTCAAACAAGCGTGGTGTGGTGGCAAAATCTTTTCAGCAGCTAAAATACAAGCATACTGGTGCAGTGGCGAAGACTTCAGGAGTGCGAGTTGACAGCAGTGTATACCGGACGGGGTGTCCATATCGTGGTGCAGAAAAAAAAAATCCCTGAATGCAAAGACGCATAAACTCCATTGAAGTCATTGCAAAAGTTAAGTACTGACAAAGCTAATTATATATGTTAATACGGAGAGCTTAAGGGTAATGAGAGGGGAAGGAAAGGAGAAACTACAAAAAAATAAAAAAGTTGGCCAGCTGTAAAAGCTGAGAAAAAGAGGGAAAGAGGCAAAAAAGGGAAGAAAGAAACCTTGTTATGCCCCTGAAATTAAATGGAGAAATAAATAATAAGCTATATAAGTATGAAATAGAGTCCGCCTTAAAGTGGAAGTAAAGACAAATAATACATCTCAAAAACATTGCGCGCATCCGCCCCTACTTAACGCCAGATGCGACTAAGGTGTTGGTCCATTCCACTGTCCTTTCTCGCCTTGACTACTGTAATACGCTTCTCAGTGGTCTTACATGCTCCCAACTAGCGCCGTTACAGTCCATAATGAATGCGGGGGCGAGGCTCATCTTCCTGTCCGCCCGCACCTCCCAGGCCTAACCCTTCTGTCAGTCCCTACATTGGCTTCCTATAAAATATAGAGCTCAATTTAAAATTCTGGTTCTTGCTTTCAAATCTCTACATAATGCTGCTCCCACCTATCCATCCTCCCTTATTCACAAGTATGTCCCGTCTAGGCCCTTACAATCTGCTGAAGACTTACGTCTATCTTCTGTCCATACTCCCACCTCTGATGCTCACCTTCAAGATTTCTCGAGGGCTGCACCGTTCCTGTGCAACTCACTTCCCTCCTCCGTTAGATGCTCACCCAGTCTCCACTCCTTCATAAAATCTTTAAAAACCCACTTCTTCATAAAAGCGTATCAATTAAACTGTTAATAGCTCCTGACTGATTCCTCTTCTGCAACTGTCACTAGTCTAATACTATCCTTACCTTTCTGTGTCATTTTACTCAACTCCCTCTAGCATGTAAGCTCATTGAGCAGGGCCCTGAACCCCTCTGTTCCTTGAGTCCAACTTGTCTGGTTACAACTACATGTCTGTTCATCCACCCATTGTAAAGCACTGCGGAATTTGACGGCGCTCTATAAATATCATAATAATAATAATAATATATAGAGTCAGTCATACAATTTGATATAATAATTTAAAAGGAGAATACCATTGATAAACCTTATCAAAATCCTGCCTTAAAGAGCGATAAGAACAAACAATAATTGGAGCAACTATATATCTGGACTTAATAAGAAAAAACAAAAAACAAAGAAAAGTGTGACAAAGCCCCGGTTTTATGAATGCCAAGACTTTTGTATTTCGTCTGCTGTTTGTGTAGTTATCGCTATTTTGTTCTTTGCTTAGAAAAACGAACAAACTACCGAACAACCAGACCACCCACAATGGGAGTGTGCAGCTCATTAATAGCCCAGAAGCTGCGGTTAACCACAGTTATTTGACGAACGGCTGGGTGGTCGCTGTTCATTTGAATGAACACATGGCGTTGGCCATTTTAAACTTACGAATGCCAAGTGGTGTTTGGTCGTCGACCGCGTGGAACTATTTTCGGCCACAATTTCACATGAACACTGATGGGACTATCTAACTTCCACCTCGTTCGTTTCTATTTACATGAACGCCGTGCCGTTCGGTACATTCAACACACGAATGAGACCGACCCCAGGTAGCTCAATCCATGGAGCTAATTTTGGACATATTTCTAGCGAACAGTCAGTGAACAGACTCTTTAGCTCCATGGCGATTTGACTGTGTTCGTGTGATCTGAGTGCTGTTCGGTTATATTGAGCGCTCAGACCCAAGCTATCTGGGGATAGGTCGAATGTGGGGGTTCCGTTCGATAAAATATAAGTTATTGATTTTAATGTATTTTTTGGTACAGTGTAAAATGAAAATATTTTCTCTACCTGGAGATAATTAAGTTTGCTTCAGCCACTTAACCCAATTATCTCCAGGATAGAGAGGAGGGATTTCACTGTTTGTGTGGGTGGGTTTGATACTGTGTTGTAAAATGATTGGTTACTGTATTTTGTGTTCCAGTCCTCCACAAGGTCCCTGTGGGGATAACCTTTGCTGGAGGACATGCATAAAAGGCCTAGCTGTGGCCATCAATAAACAGATCGTTTTACCCCTTCATGAAGTCTTGGCTCATGTTTGGGGGATTGGGAGCTATAATTCACTACACCTTCTGCTTTACTTGGATTTCGGGAGACGCT